AGTGGATCTGATAACAGGACGCCCACCTTACAAAGAGTTGCCTGAAAATGTGTCAGAGTTCGTGAAAGTGTTATTGGAAAGGATGGATGATATTCATCATCAAGTGTGTTCAAACTTGAAAACGTCTGCTGATTCCATAAAGCTATGTTATGATAATAGATCTACTGAAGTCAGCTTTGTCTCCTAAATTGTCCTCTCCATGGGAAGGCCCATATGACATTGTGGATCATCTCTCAGACGTGACTTTTCGAATAAAATGTAGTCGGCGAGGTAAGCCAAAGGTGGCGCATGCCAACAGGCTTTGGCATTATTGTGGTCCAGGACATTTCAGTTGGAATGAAGGGAACAATGGAACAAATGGCGCTGTTGAAGACCTGTCTCCTGAAAAAGCCACTGTCAAAGAGGAAACTCTACCCGGTTTAGAGAAGGGAAACAGTGAAGCCGTTAATGAAGTTACTATCACTGATGTGAATGTTACCGATAATGGAACATTTCCTGATGAAGCAGATGAACCCCACGTGAAACAGAAGCCAACGAGACGGAGACTAGTATGGAAGAAGATACGTCCAGTAAAATTAAGAGACTTTTTGAATTTTAATTTTGTGTTTGTAAATTCTATACATTTAATCAAGTTATTGTTAACTATCTATTGGTTTAATGTAAGTGGCTATTGTTCGGGACGAAGAATACTAAAGAAGAGGCAGTGTTACGACAACGGAAGTCACATGACGCTAGAAGCATGCGCGCTGGAGTTTCTAGAAGGATCATAACTGTTTCTGGCAACTCTAGTCTTTTCTATGTGCTCTCTATTTTAGTATATCAGCCCAGCAAATAAAGCGGAGAAATAATAGCAGATTAAAGTGAGATATAAAGACAGACAATCGAGTCAAGTGAGCGTAAGTAAAGTGCGTGAATTGTTGTGAATTATAGCCTGTGTTTAAGTTAAACTGACTGTGGAAATTCTGTGTATTAAAAAGTTGTATTGAGAAAGAATAAACTAGTTTTATTTAAGAAAGGACTTGTATCGCTGAAGTTCTTCGGAAAAATTGTTTACGGGAATTTAACAAACGAACAGAGACGTAACAATAACTTAAGTAAATATGCTAAAATAAGTTTTTAGATTTTCGAAAAACTAATTTCACTTATCGCTTGCCACTTTTCACTTTTAGTTAATTTGTTCCTAATGCTAAATTCTATTCCCAGAATATTAATTTTTGAGTATAAATCGTTAATTTTTTTAAAAAATTATTCTTATGCATAGAGATAATAATAAACTTCTGTTTGCGAATGACAACAAAATAGTTGTAATTATATCTGAAATTATGATTAGTACTCCTATAAAATAAAATAAAAATCGTTAGGATATATTTTTGGTGAAATACCGGTTCGCCCATTTGAACATTCTCGAAACAACATATGTAGCCGATTTTAAAAGCAGTTCTTTAGACTAGGAATTTCCTATTGTGAAACATTTGATTCATATGTAGAACGATCAGTATGCTTTTCACGTAACTCATATTGAAATCTTCACATAAAATACCTGAACACAGAAGAATCTATTGCAATTTATAGTTTTTAAGCTTTTATCGTTCTCGTGATGATGACAAAACCTTGTCGAAATGTTGTACATTTGCTGTTATGTTAAACCTATATTAAAGTTTTTCTTCATTACCCATTCAAGCCGTCTCCAAGCATTATTTTATCGTTACGCTTGGTTGGTCTATAAATAAATTTTTAAAAATAATGTTCCAATCTTCTCAGTAGATGGCGTCATAACTAATCTTAGTATATTGTGAATAATTCTGAGTAATTGGGGAGATCTTTTTTTTACTGAAGTTCTTGCAGAGGAAACATGTCAATTTCATTTCAGGAAAATTACACTTTAAATCTAAAATGTTTGAAGTTTGAAATTTCATAACTAATATATTAAAGTTAATTGCACTTATAACAACGATGATGTTTCAGGTCTCTTAGTGTCATTATAATTACTTGGATACTTCGTTGATCATGCTCAGTCTGATGACCACGATTAGATATTATATTATGCAGGCAGTCCAACTTATTCTTACCTCCTAATCCCTGGTGGGTCAGTATTAATACTCTAGACATATAAAGTTAAAAAACTGTAGTTCGATTTCCTTCACTGGACATAATGCAGACAGCCCATTGTGTAGCTTTGCACTAAAAACCAATTGCAACAATCTACCCCATTAGTTAATGTACAAATTTTACAAATTTCTGTTTATATTAAGCATGAATTAATATAGAATTTCGGTTGAGGAATAGACTAAATTCTTCTTAAGGAACCGAGTCAATCAACTAGGATGTCACATGTACTTTATAATGGGAAAGATGGCTGTACATACAACATACTACATTGAAATCAACAGTAATCTTTTCAACTTATATATCAGGTAATGCCCCAGGGATACAATATCCTTTGTTTTATAGTAAAAGTGACCATCAATCACGTGAGAAAAATGGTATTGTTGCTTCTAGTATGTAATGCTGTGTTTTCTCAGTCTGTATTGAGTGTTTATCAGATATTGACTTGCTAAGAAATTCACTGAGAGCTTTCCAGTAAAGGTGCCACAAAATACAATTGCTTATAACCCTATGCATACAGGTGACGTATCATGGTGACATACTATGCAACAGAACAAAAATCGACTGGTTGTTCCATGAACATGCTTATGTTTGTTGGGAAATATTTCTCCCTGTGAATGCGATGCGTGGTCTTCCTCTTATAGCAGATATACCACAGTTTACATAAGAATATGTGGAGTGGCTGAGGTCTGCATTGGCTAATGTGCCTCATTTTGCACTCCAACACCTAGGGAACGCTGCCATATGACAAAAGAGATGAAATAACAAAATAGTAAAGGAAAGTAAAATGAAAATTTGAGAATTATAAATATTACTTTTCCTCTTTTTCTTTGAATGCATCACTTAATAATACATCTTCAATTAATGATAATAACAACTTTTTTAACCTTTTCACATAAATTTAATTTCAGTTTTATGGTTTTATTGCCTGGATGGTACCATGTAAGCAGTTTACTCTTATGTGAAAGCCAACACATTACAATGAAAACGCAGATTTTCTAACACTGAAATAATGCATGGCATAAAATTGTTCACACAA